GCGTTCGTGCACGCGCACATTGAAAACATGGCGGATTTGCCTTAATATTGAGTTCTGTCAGTTGAAAAATAGCTATAGCTCACAGTTTGATAGCCGTGGCAAGCAATTTGGTTCAAATATTTTAACAAGGATTCAGCTGTCTGTCAAAATCAAACTTAAAAAGTTTATTTGTGTCCGACACAAGTCTTGACTAGTTTGTGGCGTGTTTTCATGAGTCTGGGCTCACAAAGAGTTTACAATAACTTGGAATGCGTTCTTGTAATAAGCATTAAATAACGCTAAAATGGGACATTTTCAATGCCTCACTGCTCCTTAACGAGCATGGGCACCCCCTTTTTTATTTTATAATTAAAGTTCTCATATGATAAATATTCCTTGGACAAAGTTTTAACAAAAATCTATGTGCAGTTTTATTTCAGGGGAATTACCTTAAGAAACAATAGAAATAATCTGAAATAATAGATTCAAGTTGTACAAAGTGCTCTGTTGTTCAGAACTCCAAAATTAAGGCAATTTATCACTTTTGTTCTTTTCATCTCGACATGTGCGTATAAAACAGACTGGTTCCTTTCCTGAAGTTTAAACAATTCTGATCTATATGCTAGATTGCTACACGTGTTAGCCACCCGGCCCCTCGAACGCTTTTAACCTGCCAATAGCGCAGAGACGACAATAAGAGATTCTTAATCCAAAACTTTAAGGTAGTAGTGTGTGGTTTGCACGTAGCGACAAGTCCGCACAACAGAGAAGCTGAAATGCGGCAATATACTGAGCACTATACGAACAATTCACAAATAGAAACCAATGAATAAATAAAATGACCGCGCATGCGTGTGAGCAGGCCACGCAGCCTCAGTAAGGTGCTCTTAGGAAGCGCTTTTTGTCAGAAATTTTTTTCTAACTGTCCACATTTTACTGCGTCTGCTTGTATGAGTTATTCTTATGTAAAAACCAGCTTTAATAATGAGATCATAGCCGACTTTATTATTGAAAAATAAACGTTGATTTTGTGGGCCGAGGAATGCGCTTTGGATGGCTTCTTAGTTTGCTTCATGTGGTTCTTTTTCACTGATATGCCAACAGGGACGCAAATGATAAGCCCGTGATACGAGTTATAGAATTTCTTCCGTGATGGCGCAACACCAATGCGTGCAGCATCTTTGATTGATTTTTGGTTGCGCGCGCTAAAAGTTGATCAAACACACAAGAACGATTTCCTGGAAGTGCTACATCGACATCGAGTTGTCGCATCTCTCGCAAATTACAGCGTAATGAAAGAAGTCTGTTCTCTCACTGTATCCCTTGAATGCATTCAGTGACAGTATACAGGCCATTTTCGACATAATAAAATTCTATCATTGCTCGGATCCGATTTAAACTAGAGAAAGTAACTATTCATCCTTCAACCTGATGTGATTTCTTTTGTTTTAATATATCGCAACTGGCCTATTCCCTTGTTTTTGTTCAGTCACGCGATGGACTGGGAACCAAGTCACGGCCGTATCCGAGTGATGCTGGGAAGGAGTGGTAAAATCGTCTGTACTTTAAAAGTGGATCCCAGGTACTCCACTGGACAGGGAAATGTCCAGCTTCTACGAGTAGAGGGAAGCTCTGACGAAACGGGAATACATAACTTGCAGGTACATACCAGTGTTCCAGATAAACAAGGGTTCTCAGGTCAAAAACCCGACAAGGTCAGCAACGTGACCCGACAAATTAATAGAAAATTTATGATGAGTTGGTGGGAGCATTGGAAATTGACCCGTTGGAATTCCTCATTGGCACCATACCCTGAAAATTTATCTGGA